CAAAAGCAGCTCACCAGAATCTGAATTAAGTCTTCAGTGTGTGTAAGAAGTGAAGGGGTCTGAATACTGACAGCACAGGCTTTCAGGACGACCCCCGCAGCAGCGGGGTCAACATGGCCCCTCTTGCTGCCTCAGGTCAGATTTTTACCAGAAGTTGCTCTTGGCAGCTCTGTGAAAAGCTCTAATGAGGAAACTCTTTGCACTGTTCAGGACGACTCCTGGTGGTCAGATACGTCTGTTTGGACGTTCGACAAAGTATCAAGCAAAATTACAGAAATCAAATGAAATAACGCATTTTCTTGTTTCCATATTTTATCCTAATCACAAGAGTGACATTCAAAACTCTGACTATTCACTGATACAGGCTGCAGCCCGGTAGCTGAGTCACGCCTGATCTACTCATATCTGAGGACATAATGAAAGTTTGAAAACTGCGAGTTTCCATCACTGATATAAAGTATTATTACTTCAGTCCCTCTGTGTCAATTGAAATCTGAAATTGCAAAAGAGCAGCAGTGAAAACATTTTACTTTCTCTACATTTTATTATCATTCTCCAGTATTAACTATTATGAAACAGCAGATAATCAAATCTAAAATTGTGTAACAGCAGGTGTGTTGGCACTGGTACACACGTCCTCTGGAGTAAAAACAAAACAGCTTGTTAGTTGCTGCTTTCCAAAGTTTTCCCAGAGCCTGTGTTGTCAGAACAACCTAGTTTGTCAGTGCCACGTTATAAATGAAACGAAAATGAAAAATTACCAAATTCACAATGAATGTTTTCTGATCTGCCATGCCGTGACTAAAGTTAACTGGTCAGGGTTACAGGGAGAGAACGTGCTATTGTTTAAAAGAAGTCAACGCTGACTTGAAGTTAGGAAGTGGGAAACAACCGCAAAGTTGACCACATCCATGGGAGTCTGGTGTAGAGTGACAGCACAGTAGTTCTGCATTTGTGTCTGAGAGATGACTTCACAAGAGCTCAATTCAGTTTTATTTGTATAATTCACAACAATCATCTCAGGCAACTTTACAGTATTATAGAGGGAAAACCCAACAAATCCCCCTTGAGCAGCACTTGGTGACAGTGGGGAGGAAAAACTCCCTTTAACGGAAGAAACCTCCGACAGACCCCGGCTCTTGGTGGGCGGCCTTCTGCCTCGACCGGTTGGGGTGAGTGGATAGAGGAGAGACAAAAGAAAAGAAAAGCAACAAGACACAACAATCAAACACTGGTCAGGTCGATGTGGCTGGTGACTGCTCGTCAGAGACATAGAGCTCCAGGGCCAGGGCAACCTGCAGAAAGGTACAGGGACAGAGGAAACGCTACGGGAGGGAGGAGACACACAGTTATACTACTTTCCCACCAAAAGTACCATGGATTCATGAGTATTTCTATACCCGACTAAACCGGCCTTTAACTGGCTTCTGATGGCTTTCCCACTGCCAACCGACCCGGCTCAGCTCTCCAGCAGACGAGCTTCTTTCCCCTCTGGTTTGTCATATCCAACATCATGTTGGTGATGTCAGATATCCGCTACGGTAAACAGAGTTGTAAACAAAGAAGCGTGGAAGCTAGTGACACGGTCAGCGTTATTTCTTCATATTTACTTTTGTTCATCTTCCAAAGTATAGAAACTTGACGTAGACTGAACCTTGTCAGAGCGTTGTTTGAACGAAGACGAATTGAATTTATGGATGAGATGTCAAAGAATCACTTATCCAAAACAAAACCAACCTATCCTAGAACGCAGGTCCAGCCTTTTCATAGCCACCACTACACTACACTGGTGAGTTTTGGCTACCATTTTTGTTGATTCAGATCTTTGCAAAACCCACTGTGTTTATCAGGGTCCGTTGAACAGTAGGCAAAGATCAAAATGTTAAAGTACGCTGCCAGCACGACCTCCTGCTTTTCTCTAGGACGTCTCTTCTTGTTACTTCATTCTCTGTTCTGCTGAATGTTCCTGCCTGTATCTCATCATGATGGGTGTCCTGCTGGGCTGAAGAAAAGACTGAGTCCAGCTCGAGCAGCGACGCCGGGAAAAGCACAAATACTTCAGACACAATGGTGCTCTCTTGGTTTTCTTCAGTCTCATTCCATCCACATCCTGTGATCGGACGATGCACACAAATTACTTCAGGGATAAAGACAGATGTGTTGTGCGTTAGCTTGCTTCCAACAGTCTAAACTACTGGCTTGGCCAGCCACGAGGCAGGGCGGCAGTGTTCTGACTTGCCTGCACAGCAGGACATCATTTGCATTTTAGGGGGTGCAACGCTGGAGTTCCCACTTTCCACCCACAATCTGATGCAAAAGTCTCAAACTAACATTCTGACTTGAAACCAGCTGCTTGCATGACGTCGTTATGTTGATGGAGCAGGGCAAAGCTAATTCCAGGCTGGAGGTCTGTCGCAGATTGTTCCTCGCACATTGCTTTGAATGATATTTGGTTGTTTATGCTTCAGTCAGAGGCCAAAGTTCTGTGTGTTTACATTAGACCTTCTTTTCTCCCCTTCAGTTATGGTGCAGCGCCACACCATAGTGCCCCGCTGTCATCTGTCCCTCATTAGTAATGAGAACCCATCCTCACAGATTTCCTGTGTTCCCTCCTCCTCCTTAAATCAATCTGCTCTTCCTCTCCTTCTTTATCTCTGCATCCCCTCCTTCCTATAATCTCTCCTTGATGCTGTCACTATGAACTTGGTTTTGATGAATTTTGATTTTGACTGTCCTGGAACGAGTGTACGATGGCAAGTACAGTGGCTTCAGAAAGTAAAGTATTCACATTTTAAATGGATACAATCACCATCTCACCATCACTCTACCCTCTGTAAACTGTAATGACACAGTGAAAACATGCTTTTGCAATATTTTACAAGTTTGTCAAATGACTGGCGACCTGTCCAGGGTGGACTCCGCCTCTCGCCCAGTGTCAGCTGGGATTGGCTCCAGCCCCCCAGTGACCCTGTTCAGGACTAAGTGGTGTAGATGATGAACAGGTCTGCTCCTCTGGTTAATTCCCTGTCCCTCAGCCGTCTGCAGCAGCTTCCACAGCTCCAAGGTCCTGCTGCTAGACTTGCTGCTTTTGCTTTTATGGCATCAGATTTTCACACAGTTCTTCTCCTGAGGCCTCGGCTCTCTTGCTGTTAATAGTGTGAAGTCAAGGTGTCATTAATAAAA